GGAATAATGTCACATCACATCACATCATTCACTGATGGGATGATGGTGACAGACATGGTCTCCAGAACACTGGACTTTGAGTGTGACTTGATGCAGCTGTCCAGCCTGAGAGAGCTGCAAATCTTATGCATGAAAGGAAACTACAGTACAAAACTTTGGAAGTGCCTTATAACTTCTTGTTCAGTTATCGTTACGTTATTCTCAATGTAGGATTAGTTTATATGATAATAGAGAATGTAGATGCTAATAAACCGGATGTGTAAAAAATAATTTTTAAAATGTCACTATTAAGACTTACACATAGAGCTAATTGTACAGTGATTTTGGTAGCATATTTTAACATTTGTTTTCCTTATCAGTTTGGAATAAAAGATGTAGGATCTGCCTTTGGGGTCAATGAATCATGGATTGTACAGTTATCAATTCTTGTTCCATTAAGATATGAATATGCAATGTCAAAGTGCCACCAATGACACTGCTATTTTAAGAGCAGGTGAGATGCTTCCCATATTATTCTGCTCTTGCAAGTTACTGTTAAGCAGAATTTTATTGTATCCAGTCCATAAGGCAGACATTTACATGTTCCAGTCAATGCTAATGAAGTAAATTATTGGAAAGGGACTGCATTAGTCAGAGGTTATGTATTTCACTGTTCATTTTATATCTATAAGCACATATTATATAAATGATAAATTTTAACATACAAAAGTATAAAGATACAGATGATAGTTGCTGCTCTGTCTAACCATAATGTTACCAAGGTATGTAAAAATGTTGAGGTAAAACTCCATGCATTAGCTGGAGGATATGTGTTTTTGAAAATTTATTTTGAACAAAATTTCTCTTTCATGCTGGTTATTTAGCAACACTGTCAGTATCAAGACTGTACAGCATCAATGATAACATAATTAATGACTGTAGAGCAGCTGGTGGAATGAGAATTCGCAGACCATAAGCAACTACTTGGAGAAAACTTGCCCCATTGTCACTCTGCTATCACAAATCCCACATGACTTAAGGTGCAATTGAATATGGGCCAGTACAATAGTAAGATGGTGTCTAACCTTGTGAGTGATGGCATGACCATGCACAAACTATTTCAAAGAAGACATATCAGCTGAAACACTGGAATAAAACTCCACATAGCAAATGAAGTTGCTGCATTGCAGGTATGGGGAGGGGGGGATTCATTTGCCTTGAAAAGGCTATATTTAAATTGAAGGAAACACTAACATAAATCATGTTTTCTAAAAATGCAACTGATTTATTAAGAAAACACTGCAGAGCTACTTCTGACAAGATACAAACAGTTGCTGGAAGACCGAAAGAGGCCATAGAAGCCCTAATCTATGGCTGTCTGTGTTTCAGGATGAAACTCTTTTTCTGTGGAGTTACATTACAAGACGATATTTATGTCCTACCCTTTGCATATGATGCAAGTGAATGTTCTGAAACACCAACTATGCAATACAACTGAGTTAAGAAGCACAATTTGGAATGCTTTTTACTTTAATTGCATATTAATAGAACTCAATAGCACTCGCATTTAGTGACCATGAAGTTCAGAAATGTTTGAATTACTGTTTCACTTGTTGCCAACATATATTCTGTTGGATTATTATTTTGTTCAAACCGAAATAATGACAAGCATATAATTGTTTTATAATAACCTTACAGTGTAACCTTACTTTCAAATTTTACATACTTTGATTCTAATGCATTTAAATAATGTGCATCATGGTAAGGGAGTTTATTTATTATTCCCAATGATTCATGTTATAAACCCTTTTCTTTCGGTTGCTGACATACTCACTCACTCACTCCAAATCACACTGCACAATTTAATGAGACTTTTACAGTGCTGTGTTGAGACCTGTTGCTAGGAGACGACTAGTGAAGACAGATTATCCTAGTGCGTGTGAAATGGTGCACTGGGAAGTGTGTAAACCAGCGATAGTGCTGTATTGCCTGTATTCAAGTGTAATTAAGAGAGAGTATGTGTAACTGAAATGCTAATAAATGCAATCATCCTAACTACAACCTGTCATTGCGTCACGCGTACTACCCTACTTTTGGCATTTTGGTGTCAGAAGTTGGATACGATCCGAGGCACCACAGAAAATACTGCTCCTATACTGTTGGTCGCATGTGTTATGGGCGTTTTCTAGTGACGCCGATGTTTAGAGATGCACTGCATAGCAAGCAACACTACTGATGTGCCACCGCCTACACTACAACAAAATATTTTTAATTGATCTTTCTCATTTTATTATTCCAAACGATTAATATATAACTGTAGTAGCTGAAAATGAAATATGATTTGTAAGTCACATATTTATAGTTTACTTATTTTTCATCTTGTATCACACTAATATACTAATAAATAACAGACGCAGTTGTACATTCTGAATTGATAATTCAATATTTTTATATCCAATTATTATGTCTGTACGTATCAGTATAATTTATTTTATTTTTGTTTGTTTTATCCTAAGCAATTCATGTTTAGCTTATAAGTTAACTTTTTATTTATGAATATCTGTTTTTTAATTTGGTCAAAGTACTTATGTAAATTTTTGACCTGCTGGTAGTCATAACAAGATATCTTGAAGCTTTATTAATTAGCCTGCATCAGATTTATGAGAGAGTTTTGCAACATTACTTTACCTCTATATGTGAATCTGGTACTTCTGAGTAATCATAAATGGCATTCACACATCATTCCATAGCTTTAAGAGAAATAAAATTCCCTTTGAATCTAATAAGGGAACTGAAAAAGAAAAAGTGTTCATCTTTCGTTGTAACATGTAAAATGATACAAAGTACCTAACAATTAATGGATTGAAATAGGAATATCAACATTACAATGATATTTGCTTGCTTAAAAGACTCCCATCTTATGTGGGGACAGTAAATTATTGTGTATTTATGATTAAAGTTTACTTGTTCCAGTTACCATCTTAAACTTGTAACTGTATTTTACTGGGTGAAAAATACAGATGCAGATCCTAAGGATCACGTGGATCACAGGCACTAATAATTGCAAGGGAGATTTTAAGTGACATTTAAAATCACACGTGCTTTTATAAGTTAATGTCTCAGTTCAAGTTCAAAGAAAATTAACAATTTCTTTAATGTAACTAATAGACATTGATCCTTTTAACAGTATAAGAAAGAATATGTGAGTCAAATTGAATATGTATCAAGATATAAGATAAATACAAAACAGACACACACACACACTCCATATGAATTAAGAATGGTAAGAAGTAAATGGCGGTCACGGTAGCCGAGCGGTCTGAGGCATGTACCGTCTTTTCTCACTTGGAAACCGGGATCGTGGGTTCGATTCCCACTCAGGGCATGGATGTTTAGTTTGTGTGTGTTTTTCTGTGTTTGTGTAGAGGTAGAGGCCTTGCGACGAACTGATCACCTGCCCAAGGAGTCCTACCGAATGTGTAAGATCTAGAAAAACCGAAGTGAACGGAGAAGTTCATGGAGGTAGGCCTAGGTTCACTGGGGCTGTAGTGCCAAGGGGGGGGGGGAAAGGTCTGTCTACAGCATTCCTTGTTAAACTTTATAGTGCAGCAAATAAACAGCATGAAAATTGAGATATTTTATATTTTATCACTTATATATTGTGTGCTGGTGGATAGCAGTTCAGCTGAAGCATTATGGATAATGATATTGAACCTCTGTATCTTACTTTATCCCAGATATGAATCAAGTTATTCTGCAAGCACAACCATATAATTTCTTCGGCAGGAGAAGCTTAAAGATCAAAACAAGGAGAGAACTAATTTGAAAGAACTATGTCAGCTTCGAAGAAGTATCAGCACAACTCTATGGTATTTACTGCTGGTAGCCATGTACCCAGAAAGATTTTATTATGTGGCCAGCAACAATTTTATACAAAATTTCACATAGATGCACTCAAAATAGTAGTGGGCCAAACTTTCCAATATGGCATGTCCAAACTCCACATACCTCTGTATTGGAGAGTAATTTCATATTTTATCTTCCTTCACACCACTTTAATAATTTTTTTGACAAGAAGAGGAAAAGGTGGTTTGAAAGAAATACATAGAACAGCAAAGTTACAAATTTAAATTATTCCAGTAGACATGCTTTTTTTCTTTCTTCAGTCTTGATTTTTTTCCACTTCAGCTGTGAGTTCAATGTCTTCTCCATTTCTGAAGAAATACACAGCTGCTCAACCTAATGAAATATTAACTTGTGTACAAGAAACTATAACCATCTTTGGATGAACAAAATATTTAGGCTGTTTTACAATTCAGCTGTCTTGTATTTAAATGCAATTAGACAAAACGTGGTAAATATAAACAACAATAAACAAAAGTAATGCAGCCCCCAACTTTTTATACAAAAATCCCCCCCCCCATGCCTGAAAGACAACGTAATACATCATTTTATCTTCATCATAGAATGAGAGGAGTTTTAAACGAAGAAGAGTCTTGTTCATGGTAACTTACCATCGTGTGCGAGATCATAAATATATCGAACAAGTTACTTGTCTGCTAAGAGATGCATTGAGCAGAATAAAAAAGTCAGATGATGTCTACATTAAGTATTCATCAAACATAAACAGAGGCATTTGGAAAGAATCTAGATGCCCTCAAGCACCAATATGAAAAACAACCTAGAACCGGGGATATTGTTCTCATGATCTGCCCCCCCCCCACCCCACCCAATGTTATGTTGTTACTATAGGAACATGAATCAGGTTTCACAACAGTGGATACTGTAGATGCTCTTTCAAGAAGGGATAGGAAGCTTGAGGCATTCTTTGGAACCAAATTACTCTTTCCAACCTGTTTTTGCCTGATTGACAGTTATACAGATTGAACCTTCCTGACCCCACATTTGCGTAACATTTTGCTTTTTGAATTCAATAGTGTGTGTAGCAGAAACTGTGATTCACTCTATCTGTAAATAAATTTTCATGTCCCATGTATCCGACTCGAGATTACACAGTAACCTTCTTATGGGTCCAACACTATGTATTGGTTTTTTTAGTCATCTCCAAGACTTGGAAATAAGCAACAGGTATAACAATAACGTAACACTTGTTCTTATGACACAACGGGAATTATGTAACATGACATTTTCTTCTTGTAACATATAAATATGGATCCAATTCTGATTTCACTTCAAGCGAGTCACTTGTTGTCTTTTACAGGGTACTCTGTTTTGAATATCTTCTTTCTTCAATGAGCAAGTGCAGATAAACTCTGTCTTTTCACACATGTTAACAAATGGGTCATCACTACTTGTAAAGTGCATTATTGAGACCAACAGTAGTTCGAATAATTATCATTGTAACAATAATTATAGTAGTCACTATTTGCTGAAGTAGCAGAACCGGGGGCGTGGCATTATTGCCCTTTTTCTTTCAACCCTAATAGGTGTTCACTTGCCATGAGCGATGATGATGTAGGCTGGTGGGCATAGTTCCTGATCTGATGGAGGGAGATCAGCTGATTTGGAAAGCTGTTTGAAGAACTTGACTTGGGCATGTCCATAGAGCCTCCACCTAGCCCTGATATTTGGCCTGAAGATGATGTCACAACTTTTGATGTTGGGAATGAAATTGCATCATATGGGATGTATGCTGGTCGAGATGCGGATGATGCCATGCCCAGCTGGTGGTGATTCAGATGGTTCAGATGGTGGTGCGCTGGTGCCAGTCCTCCCATGGACTGGATAGGAGTGAACGCGGATGTCGAAGATGGTGTTGTGGATGTCTTTATTGCCGATGAATTAATCAAGTTTGCTGTAGCAGCAGCTATACTTGAGGAATCTGCATAGACTGAGGATGGTGATGAAGATACAATCACTTGTGATGTGGGTGTTGGAGGTGGTGCTGGCGGTGCTGAAGAATGTTGCTGGTGTAGTGCCGTGCCTTGTTGACTCCTGATGACAACGAGGTCCTCACCATTGTCACCTCCCCCTCCCCCACTACCACTACTGTTAGTACCTCCATTCATCTGTCTGTTGTGATGTTCCAACAGACTTCGATGGTGTTGAGCTGGTGCTAGATGATGATCTCCCAGGTTGGCGCCATTTCCAGACTGCAGACATGCTTCATGCTGTTGGTTCATTGCCTCCACCAGTGAGTTTGCAGTGTCAGGTGAAACTTTGGGCCAATATGGGTGTGGATCTGTTGCGGGGTTGCCAGTGGGGTTCGCCGCCGAATTCCCAGGTCCTAGAGATGCCACGTTTCGGTTGTTGAGACCAATGCCAGTGATTGGCGGTCTCTTGTCTGTCCTCTCAGCATGTTTCTGCATGTGTTTGGTCAGATATGTTTCCTGTGTGTATGACTTACCACAGTATTGGCAAATATGGGTCTTAAGATGTTTCGACTCTTTATGCTTTGGGATGTGTTCCAGGAGGGACGGCTCATCAGAAAAACACTTGTAGCAGGAGTTACATTTGAACGGCTTGTCTGTCTGGTGACACCTGGAATGACTCTGGAGGTTGCTGAGTTGCGAAAACGCCTTGTTGCAGCCTGGATGCCGACATTTGTATGGCTTGTCTCCTGTGTGCGTGCGAATGTGCTGCTGCAGGTGGGAAAGTTGAGTGAACTTCCTCTGGCAAATCTCACACCTGTATGGTTTGATCCCCAAGTGTATACGTGTGTGCTGCGACAGGTACGAACTGTTGGCGAATGCTTTGCTGCACTGAGAACATTTGTATGGCTTCGCTTCTCGCATGTGCAGTTGTGTGTGCAACTGCAGATCTGCTTTGGAGCCGAAGATCTGTAAACACAGGAAGAAGAAAAATATTTTAGTTTGAACACATTCATCCAGTACACAAATTGCTGTCAAGAACAATAGTAGGTGCATAGAAGTCACATGGTAACTGTGCTACTAACAGGCTGCATGCTGAAGATTCCAGCAAACACGAGTTACTGTTTATATTATTTTCATGGGAAATTACACATTCTGATTATGGGCACTGCAAATGGTCAAGCCTTAAGCTTAATTGTCAATATATTGCTGACAGCCAAACATTAGAAATATGTAACAGATTCTTTTAAGGCAATACATCTTGATCAGAGTAGAGAGCGTTAAAAATTGAACTTTTTTTTTAATTCGCTTAGTGGGGGGTGGAGTCCAACTGGGTCCACTCGGCACTGCGGCCACTGATTGGCCTAGTGTAGCCTGCCCCGGGTGATTATGATGATGGAGAATTTGGTGGAATGAAGATTGGCAGGGGAAACTGAAGTACTCGGAGAAAACCTGTCACAGCGCCACTTTGTCCATCACAAATCCCACTTGACCAGACCCGGGATCGAACCCGGGCCGCCGCGGTGAGAAGCCAGCAACTAACCGCTTGAGCTATGGGGCGGCCAGATTAAACTTTACTGCGCCCATAATTAATATAATATATAAACACACAAGGTTTGAAGAATTAGTAGTAGTAGTAGTAGTAGTAGTAGTAGTAGTAGTGGATAGGCCTACTTGAAATAAGGGACAATGACGCAATTCGTAAGGGATCGAAAGGACCCTCATAAACTTAACAAGATTATCAAGATAACTAAGTATGGAGGAGGTGAAGACGCTTTTGATGTTCAAAGAAAAGAATGAAAGACAGTGTGGAGAGCAGGATAACAGTTTATACAGTACATGAAACAAGAATGAGGTTTCAGACTACATATGGACCGTATGAAATGTAAAAGTAGCCTATTGAATTAAGTGAAAGTTCTTTAAAATCAAGAATGAAATTAGAGAAATCAGAAAAATAGCTGGTGTCTTAAACCAAGTGACCTTTCAAATATAAAACAAAAATGCATGTTAGGCTCATGACTTCCTTTTTCTGCTTTACACTGCTGTACATTCATATCACGCTTAAGTCGAATCTTTTAAATACTGAATTTCTTGAAATTAATACATACAAATTCAGTTCGTACCTCATGGGGAATATTACGTCTCTGCTCAGAAGATCAGTCGGTAAATACTGTTTAGGGAAGATGTCGCTGTTTGTTGTGACAGTCATATGAAACATATAAATGAACTCAGTGGGCAAAATGAAGAGTTTTAGTGTGTTAAAAGTTGGTGGTATGTATAATGACCACAGCTCTTTAAAGGATTAAAATATGTTGCTTTAGTTTTAACTTCTATAGCACGAATTTAACTAATTTGAGTGATGCTGTTTGAAAAAGTTGATATTACTTACAATTTCAGCATTTACAAGTATATATTTCAACTCTGAACGAAAATACACTGTATTTAGTTTGAAAATGTAATAGGTCATATCTGCTAGAAGTCATTTATGCTTTCAGTAAGAGATTTCAATGTCGCATGTCAAATACGTAACTATGTGTGTAGTTTAGGAATGTGAATTTTATGGCAAACATTAGTTTACTTTCATGGAGGGCGCAACACTAGCGTCTTCCACTGCAGATTACTCACTTTATGATGATCATGGAAAATTTACTGAAAACATGCAACATATCTGGTTTACTTTGAATTACATTTTACTATCTCTAGCACTAAAGGAAGGAAGAATTTCACGAGAATGGAAACAAATGAAAAAATACTTCATGATCGAACCATTTAACATTCAATATATTTTGTTTTCCATGTCTCTCAATGCGGACCCTACTCCATGGAGTTAGATGATTAATTATCCGATGATTAATTTACAGGGCTGAAGAAAACACGAACAGACTCGGGAGTAAAAGGGTTCTGTCTTTATTGGACTACACTTCGACCCTGATGATTCTGGCATTATGTCCGTATATTATTACCTGACTACACGATGTCATATCATAGAAGATTCTTAGCAGTCAATGTCGTGAGAACTTCAAATCTCATAAATTCAAGATAGCTTGTTTCAGGGCCGGTATTCGAATCCACGATTTTCGAGATAAGAAGCAGGATTAATAACCAGTACTCAGTGAAGTTCGATGTATTATAACGAAATCGTTAAGTTCTGGCGGTTCTTCGAACAGCGTTCAGCGTTGGAATTATGTCCATCCCACGGCCCTGGGGGAGTCCTGCCACAGAAGGTAATTATTGGCACTGCAGGGCACAAAAGCGCCTGTTCGGCTACTGTTGCTATGTGTCGTGACGTAATAACGCAGGCCATTTTACGTGACAAAGTAAGAAGAATAATAAGGGCCATGCTTCGCCGATATTAACACAGAGCTTGAACTAATGTGTGAGCTGTTTTTCCATTCACTGCTTTCCATGTCTTTCTTCGTTTAAATATTTATTTATTTATTTACTTGCCTATATATGTAACCTTCAAATCACATTGCTTATTACATCCCATACACCATCTGCTGTAACACTAAAACTTTGTATCTTGCGCACAGACTGTATTTACTCGTATGTAATTCATACGATTCTCAAAATACTACTGAAATGCTACATTTGGAGCATCGCTTTGTATGGGGCTGAAACATGGACACTTAGGGCAGTAGATCAGAAACATCTGGAAAGTTTCGAAATGTGGTGTTGGAGAAGGTTGGAGAAGATGAGTTGGACCGATTATGTGAGAAATGAAGAAGTGTTAATTAGAGTCAGTGAGCAGAGGAATATCCTACACGAAATAAGAAAACGGAAGGCTAATTGGATTGGTCATGTTTTACGCAGAAACTGCCTTGTAAAAGAAGTTATTGAAGGAAAGATAGAGGGGCGGATAGACGTGACAAGAAGACGAGGAAGAAGACGTAAGAAGATGCTGGATGACCTTGGGGACAGAAGAGGATATTGTCATTTGAAGGAGAAAGCACTAGATCGCATTAAGTGGAGGAATTGTTTTGGAAGAGACTGTGGACCTGTCGTCTGACAGATTACTGATGATGATGATGATGATTTCCATTGAAAGCTTTAACTCAAAGATCTTTGTAACGGAGACGCAGTTTTTCTGTGAAGAAGATAATTATTTTTTTAAATATTTATATTTGAATTAATTCAAGGTTTCGAAGAGTTGGCGCAATTTTGTTCTATAACCAATTTAATAATATAAATCCATTATGTTGTTTGTAGTGAAGTGTACGAACAGGGTTTCGATTCCTGGTAGAGAATTCTTTTTCTGGGGCTTTCTGAATATCAAATATAAATTCTAATCACTCGTCCACGGTATTCGCCAGTTAATACGTTCTTACGTGTTCCGATCGCATACTAAAACTATGACAAATTGTTATCCCAGGTTCGATAAGAGGTTCCGAAGTTTAAACCTTATGACGAACTCACAGTTGGCTGGTTTTCCCAAGGAAAGATTCATTAGGTCGATCCCGGAGCTTGTCTGACGTGGCGTCGAAAATAGAAATCCTAGCCCTGCCCGGAGTCGAATCCCTGAGGTCTATCCGGTAGCCAAGCACTCTGTTATATGGCGTGTGCAGTGTGTTTGTGCTGACAGCACGTTGCGGCGGTCCAGTGCCGCGTCCAAGTTGCCTTGAAGAACTGTCCAACAGATCAGGAAATGCATACGTAGCCAAACAATTCTGGCGCCTTACCTCTCTTACAATTCGTGAATATTCTCTTATGAACAGTTTCGTGGATGAGCAATGGTACTCTCATTTACAGCGGTTCTCAAGTTAGAAATGACACGGCATAAAATCCAATTTTGTAAATTACCTCGATATCCATAAGGTTTGCGGAAAATCCATACTGAGCAGGAAATCCATGTTTTATCATTCTCTTCGACTTCTGCTCAAAACATTTTTCTCACTCACTCACGGGGCTGAGCCCTTCTTGAGAAGCTGCCAATTCTGCAGTTACTCAAGAACTTTCCAGCATTTTATGGAACCCGAAGGTTCATTACCGTGTTCACAAGAGTCATCTAGCGGTCCCTACCTGAGCTAGATTAGCACAATCCCATCCCATCATCTCTCTCTCTCTCTGAGATACATTTTATTATTGTCCACCCACTTGCGCCTTGGTGTTCCCAGTGGTCTCCTTCCTTCCTTCCTTCCTTCCTTCCGGCTTTCCCACTAATATCCTATATGCATTTCTTCTCTCAATTCGTGCTACATGCCCTGCCCATCTCATCCTCCTTGAATTGATCATTCTAATTATACTTGTAGAAGAGTACAAGTTACGAAGCTCCTCATTATGAAGTTTTTTCCAACCTCCTGTCACTTCATCTCTCTTCGGTCCAAATATTCTCCTCAAATCCCTGTCCTCAAACACCCTCAGTCTATGTCCTTCTCTTAATGTCAGATACCAAGTTTCACACCCATACAGAACCAAGGGCAAATCTCTGATAAATATTTAGCCAGATGAGCTCAAGCTCTTCAGTGTGAGACACGCGCAGAAATGCAGACAGGCCTTCACGTGGAGGTTTCCATACTATAAGACGTGAACCTAAACCGAAACGAGAAATTTGAGTCGAACTCCAGAGTAATGGGTCTCACAGAAATCCGTCAAGCTGTTACACGTGCACAGATAGGGGGAAAGTAACATGCATTATATCTGCAACCGAACAGGCCAAAGGGCCTAATCCATGATATCTACGTTAATAGCATTTTCAGTGCAGTACTCCGGTCATCTCTCCGCTGCCCATTTTGGTCCGGGCTACGTGCCAAATTATAAAATTTCCCCCAAAACATACATTAGCTTGACAGTTGAGTACAATGTCGTGTGGGGCATTTGCAGTGCGGGAATTCAAAAGAAGATACAATGCAGAATCAGGGTTCCTGGAAGCTGTAAGCAGTCATGACTTTCTGTCATCAGTCGGCGCTAATGACCAACTCGTGTGACCCAACCATAGAAACTTGTGACAATAAATGGCAACGTTCTAAAAA